GCAAACGCGCCTGAGCTTAGCACTCGCCGGGTGACGTCACCTCTGCTAGGGTTTTAACCAGAGGAAGTCACTGACCCTTGTGGGGGGGTGGGGGTGGGGGACCCTGCCGGGCTGACATGAAGCAGGGCAGCCACCCTTCCCCTGATGTCCTGGTCTTGGGCTCCAAGCCAGGCTGCTTCTCCCATGGACACGTGGCCTGGTGGGCCAAAAAGGGCACCCGGCCCCTTTGCCCTTTCCCAGCCCCGAGGCTGACTCTCACCCATCATCACTTCATCAGCTAACATTTCCAAGGACCAGGCCCGTGGGATTGTGTAAGAACTCTTCCTTTATTTACTGGATGGCTTGGGGGCACTTCACTTCACCTCCCTGGACCTCACTGTCATCAGCTGTGAAATGGGGATTTATCATGAACACCCTGCCACTGAAAAAAAAAAGTAGTAAGAAGAAAAGGGGGCTTCTCTGGTGGCTCAGATGGCAAAGAATCTGCCTGCAGTGCAGGAGACCTCGGTTCAATACCTGGGTTGGATCCCTGGGTTGGGAAGATCCGCTGGAGAAGGGAATGGCAGCCCATTCCAGTATTCTTGCCTGGAGAATTCCATGGACAAGAGGAATTCTGTCCTGGCAGGCTACAGTCCATGGGGTCGCAAAGAATCTGACACAACTGAGTGACTAACACTTCACTTTCAGTGAAAGCCCATGCACAAAAGCGCTTTGACCCACCCCAAGCCTTCCTCCAGCTAAGGAATTAGCCTGTTGGGCATCCCAGGTCTGGGAGGCACCCTTAAACATGAGTACCTGAATGTGCTCCATGAGTATCCCCTTGTCTCTTTTGAAGAAGTCACAGTCAGCAAATAAACCGCGGTTCTGGGTGCCCAAACCACCCTCCATCAGCTACGCCTCTGCTGCAGCTAGCACCAAGGCGGGTTGGATGGGGGAGGAACCACATCCCACAAGGATGCTGGAGGCAGCTGGAGCCAGCCGGTTCCGGAAGTGTTCAGGACCTGGAATGTGATTTCCTAACTGTGAATTCATTCTGGCCACCAGCCCTAGCCCGTGCTCCCAGGAATCTCATCAACAGCCTCTGTGGATGACCCCGCCCATCCTCCAGGCTTAGGTTCCTCAAACCTTAAATGGAAGTGGAGTCCCAGCCTTTTATCTTTAGACTTTGACTGGGGGCTGGAGTCTTGGCAATGGGAGATCAAGATCACCTGGTCGCTCACTGACCAATTTGATTTTACTCCAAACCACTTATTTTCGGCAGGAGGATTTGGGGCCCAGAGGAGAAAGTCCCATTGTCTAAGGTCATTAGACACTGGAGGACATTCAGGTACAGCGAGTCAGAGCTTGACCTTGTCCCTATCCGCCCAGCTTCAGTGGTAGATGGACATGGAGAGAACTACTAACCTTCCAGGGTTCCAGCCTCTCCTGGGTTACACTGTGTTGAAGGGGAAAGAGCCGGAGGCCGAGTGCAGGAAAGAAAGACACCGGCTGGGATCACACAACAAGCTGGCGAATGTGTCCTGGCTTTCTAGCTGTGGACCCTTAGTTGATAAGAAGGGAGGTCATCTTGGGAGTGAGATAACCAGAGCTCCTCCGGGACCTTAAGCATCATGTGGAATCAACCTTTCAACCCCGCCACCGGAATCAACTTGGGCCTCACACCCCCTCCTCCCCGTTCAAACCTGACCCAGACCCTCGGTGGCTTGTAAACTCAAGGGAGAGACTGTCAGGCTGACTCCTGGGCCCTCCTCAGTCCCCACCACTTCCCACTGGAACAACGCAGACCCGAAGCCTCCCCAGCGTCTGGCCCCCGGGCCTACGCGGTCAGGACCCTGGGGGAGAAGCTTTGCAAAGTTTTCCGGGGCGGGGCGTGGTGGCGGCGCTGTGTGCATCCTGCCCGCCGCCGCCCTCGACCCTGGAGACGGAGTAGGGGGAAGGCGCCTCGGGGCACCTCCAAGCAGGAGACATCCTGGGTCCCGCCCGTCCCTTCACCCCACACCTTCGAGGGCCCCTCAGCCGGCAAAGCAGTTCGTCGGGCGCGCAACGAGACCAAGCCCATAGCCCCGCTTCTGAGACGCCCGGAAAGCGGTCGACCGGCGTCCTCCAGCTCCGAGGGGGATCGCGAAGGCTCCAGCCCGCCCGGCAGGCGGAGGGCGGCCGGGCCGGGGCGGGGTGGGCGTGGGGGGCTGTTTGCAGGTGGGGCTTCGCAGGCCAGGGAACTGGCCCGGCAGGGCGGTCCCAGGAAAAGGGAAGAAGCCCCCCACCCCATCCCGAGCCTCGGGCAGTCCCATCCCCCTCTGTCCGGAGTTTCCTTCGGGTGCGCGGAGCGCCTCTCTCTCTCAGCAGCCTGCGTCCACCCCCCTGGGCCTGCGGCCCAGTCTCGGTGAGGATCATGCGGCGGCTCTGGGTCCAAGGTCGGCTCCAGCCCCGGGCGGGCTGTCCGGCCGCCGCTCGGCCCCTGGCCTGGAGCGCCATCTGGTGGACATTTAGGGCGTTGCCACGGCCTGCGGACACGGCCCGCTCCAGGTCCGTTCTCCGCCGGGAGCTGCGGACTGGGAAGACGGGCAAAGAGGGGCTGCCGTCGGCTCGGGGAACCAGGTGCTTCAAGGAAGGAGTGAGGGGTAGGGCGAGAGGGTCCGCGCCTCCAGAGAACACAGAAGAGTTCTAGGGGCACACCCAAGTCCCGACGCGTTCCGGACAGAGACTGGAACGTATTCAGCGAGCGTGACCAAGCTGCCCTGCCAAGGGCGCGCGCGGGGCAGTGCCCAGAGAGGACCCGGAGCTCAGGCTCCGTCCCCTTGGCCCCTGACCCCCGGGAGCGCACAGGTCTCCCCTCTGCTGCCCAGGCGGGAGCACAGAGCCTCCGCCCCTCGCCGGACCCTGTAGCCGGGCTGGCGCTACGGACTTTGGCATCCAGGCAAAGGAGAGGACAGAGTGGGATTGGATTGGGGGTACTTTCGGAAGCCGGGGAGGAAGACAGGCTCGGAGTTTAAACCTCTGTTTCACCGAGACTGTCCCCTGAACCGTCCCTTTTACTGGGACTTGGGGAGGAGGACGGGTCGGGGCCTCGAGCTGGGGCTTTCACCTGTGGGGTGTCCTGGGGGCGCATCAAGCTGAACGCACCCCTCTGGCTCCAAGGGGTTGCCCTGCATGGGGTACCTAAGGGAGGCCGGTCCCAGTTCTGCGCCCTTGGCGTGGGGTTGGGGGAGGGCCGGGCCACTGATGCTCAAGATTTCCTCCTAAGATAGGAGAATGACTTGAGGGCTGGGGAGACTTGGATTGATAGGAGAGCAAACGAAGTCCCTTAGGTTTCCCAGCGTGGCTCAGACGGAGACCCTGGGTTCGATCCCTGGGTGGGGAAGATTCCCTGGAGGAGGGCATGGCAACCCACTCCAGTATTTTTGCCTGGAGAAGCCCCATGGATAGAGGAGCCTGGCGAGCGACAGTTCATGGGGTTCACGAAGAGTCGGACACGACTGAGCGCCTAAGCACAGCACAGGTCACGCAGTCCTTGCTGCCTAGCCGCTAGGGGTCTCACGGAGATCCCCCCCACCCCAGTCTCCAAGCTCCCCTGTGAATCACACTCCTAACCCCAACACCGACACGCACAACTCCCTCCCACACCCCCACCGTGCCAGCGCTCAGCGCCCCGCGGCGACGCTTCAGGTCAGCAGCGCCCATGATGCCCAGATTCGCTCGTCCACTGGGGATCCTGCCGTCTAGGGCACCCCCCCTCCGCCTCCGCCCGGTGCCAGGCCCTGAAGGGTTAAGGAGGCCTTGGGGGCACCGGAGCGGCGGGACGCGGGCGCCTGGGCTAATTGGCGACCCCGGGAACAATGGAGGCGGGAGGCGGGTGGCTTAATTGGGCCAGGGAGCGGCCCGGCCTTTGTCTGAGGCCTGACCGCGCGGGTTCCCGCAGCCGAACGCAGGAGGCTCGCAGCTGGGACCCAGCGCAGGGCGGCGAGGGTGACCCCGGGAGGGGGACAGTGAGGTGGGGGCCGGCGGTGACGGGGGAACGGCTCCCCAGGCTGCGCTCGGGACCCCGGGGCGTCTCGGGGATCACTCCACCCCGCTGGGGCGCTGCAGCCGCCCTGCGGCGAGAAGGCGGCCGCCAGCAGGCCGCTCTGCGCGGCCGTGACCGCGACCCTCCTCGGGGCCCGGGTCTCCCGGCGGGCGCGCCTGCGGCGCCAGCTCGGTGCTGCCCCCTGGCGCCAGCAGCCCGCTCCGCAGCCTCTTCCCCACTCTCCCTGCCGCTGCTGCTGCTAAGTCGCTTCAGTCATGTCCGACTCTGTGCGACCCCATAAACGGCAGCCCACCAGGCTCTTCTGTCCACTGGATTCTCCAGGCAAGGACACTGGGGCGGGTTGCCATTTCTTTCCCCAATGCATGCCTGCATGCAAAGTCGCTTCAGCCGTGTCCGACTCTGTGCGACCCCATAGACGGCAGCCCACCAGCCCGTGGAAGTGTTCACGGGATTCTCTAGGCAAGAATACCGGAGTGGGTTGCCATTTCCTTCTCCCCATTCTCCCTAGACAGTGAGAAGTCAGAACAAACCCATGCGCCCCTCTTCAAATGTTAGAAACCTCCAATAAACACACGGTCCACGCAGGATTTTATTTGAGCTGAGAAAGGGGCCTTTCTGCCCCACCCTGGTCCTGAACTGCCCTCCTGCACGCCTGAAGGTCAGAGGCAGGGAAACCCGAGCCCACCCTCCCCAGAGCCGGGACAGTCTTCTGCGCCCTCGCACTGGCTCACGGGCCGACACCGTCCCCGAATTCAGCGTGGCCTAGGGCCAGGCTCCTTCCCTGGAAGAGGACACGATTCTCTTCCTAGCAAATGGATGAGCCCACGAAGGTGTCCAGGGAGCCCGGAGGCCTGTTCTCCTTCACCCTTCCTCCGTCTCACCGTCCCGGATGTCCCTGGTGAACTGGAAGCCGGCGCCTCTCGGCCTCGGAAGTGCCCAGGTTGAGCAACCTGCTAAGCCAAGGCATCATGGACACTCACGCTTTAAAAAGAGGGAGCAGCTGGGAAGGGGTGATGCTGAGGGATGGGTAGACCCCGCGGTGGTCTGAGGGAATGATTTGCCGGCCCCCCATCCTTTCCACTGTTAGGATCTGGGGCTGGAGACACCTGCCGGCTGGGTGAGGAGGGGAGGAGAGGCCGCCCTCCTGGGGCAGCAGCTGTCCTGGCAGACTCGGGCCACGGGAAGCGAGGCCTAACCGCGACTGACACAGTGCGACTCCCCGCGCGACCTCCCGCTGAACCCACGATTGTACAGGGGGAAAGTGGGGGAGGAAAAAAGCCTGGTGAGCCCCAGTCTTCATACCCACCCCCACCCCCGACAGAGATGTAGATGATTTCCACCGGAGAACCTTTAGTCTAGACTCTGCCACTCTGGTCAACGGTCCTGAGAGGAGAGAACGTGTTCTTTTGAGGTTCAGGAGACGGAGGGATGGAAAAGGATTCTAGGTTCGCGGTATTTGGGGGACCATGGCCAAACCCCTCCTCCGGAGGGAGAGAGGGAGCGGGGAGCACCCGTCGTATCAGCCCCACCCAACCGGAGGCTCCGAAAGGAGCTGCAATTCCACGGTGGCGCGCGCCCCAGGCCGGGAGTCGGGAGGCCAGGCGCGGAGCGGCGGACGGCGGACAGCGGCCAGCAGGGGGAGCCCGGCCCCCGACCCGGCGGCGGCGGCGGCGCTGGACGCGCGCGGGGGGCTCGCGGCGGCGCGGCGCCTCCCCGCCCGCCGGCAGCCCGCGCCGGCGCCGCCGGGCCTCGCGGCTCCGCTCGCCGCCCCGCCGCCCGCGGGGGAGCCGCCGCCGCCGCCGCGAGCCCCGGGCGCCCGCCCCGCCGTCCCCGCCTGACGCGCTCGCGGCGCCCCCTTGCCCCGCGCGGCCCACAGAGCGCACTGCGCCGTTCACTTCGCATTGCAGCGTTTTATTGTTTTCTCGAGTTTTTGTCGTTTTCGTCTCGCTCCGGAGCGAAAAGTGAAAACCTGAGGTGGAGCCCGCGGGCCGGGCGAGCAAAAAACGCCCGGGCGCAGGGGCCGAGGGGGCTGGCGGGGTGGGAGCTTCTCCGGGGGTCGGGGGCCCTCTCCCGCAGCCAAGGACCTCCTCCCCACCCCCCCAGCCCTGTACAATATAGATGCTCATGTAAAAGGAAAAAAAAATTATAGGCTATGAGTTAATCTCTAAATATTCTGTACACAGCAATGTACACCTTTGAATAAATTAATACCAATTTGCATATTCTGGTAACCTTAAAGCTTATTTACACAAATTACCATTTATTTCATAAATATCTTTTTATTCCCGCCCCCTGGGGACTCAAGGCAGAAATGCCACTCCCTCCGCTGACCCAGGGGTGGGAGGGCCGCCTGTCCGGGAGAGAAGTGGAAGGACCAAAGGAACAGGCCCCTCTCAGCTCAAGTCTACACTGACTTCATCTTCACTGACCTCAGCTCCCCTCACCCCAGATTCTCCAGCGGTGCGGGGCTCCAGGCTAGGGGGCTTTCCTCCCCTGACCTTCTGGCTCCCCAGCCAGCCAGCCCCTGGCTGAGCCGGGGACGAGGCCTCCCCAGCAGCGCTGGAGGAACCCGGAGAGGCCCCTCTGATGACACCTTGACACCGGAGCAGACCTGGACCAAATCCAGTGGCCCCAAAGCGACTGTGTTCCGGATTCCTTGTGAGGCCCAGGGAAGTGTCCCAGGCCCCGGCTGGCCTATCAGGGTTTCATTCCGGCTGCAGCCCGCTCTCTCTCCTTTATTTAAATAAATACCCATTCTGTGCTGTACACGTCCCAAGCAGCAGGGGAGGCAACCCAGGAGGCCTGCGCGGCGGCGGCGGAGCAGCAGGGCGGGCCCCCTCACTTGGGCGACTCCCTGCCGGGGGAGAGGGCTCGCTGGCTCTCCAGCCCACTCACCAGTCTCTGAATGCTCTGCAGTTCACTGGCCGCCTCTTTGGCCGCGCCGCCGGGCGACAGGGCTACGCGGGCCGGGGCCCCCACTTTGCGGAGGGCCAGCTCTGGCAGCGGGCTGGGCTCCCGGCTGTTGCCGCCGCCTGCAGCCTTGGAGCCCTCCGCCGCCAGCCCGGTGGTGAGGAGGCTAGTGCTCGGTGGGATGGAGACCGGGATCTGGTAGGGGCTGAAGCGCAGGCGGGGCCGGGCACTGCCCAGAAAGGGGCTCCGGGACAGGGAACCGGCAGCAGCCGCGGCTGCGGCCGCAGCGCTGGTGGCTGGCAGAGCCGAGGCCGCCGCCGCAGCGGCCGCCATGTAGGTGTAGGGATAGGGGAAGAGGCCTCCGAAAGTGGGCATGGGGATTCCCTGCAAGAAACAAAACAAGACAAGGGTTAGGCATCCCGCCTGGGGTGTTCCTGGGGGTGATCTGGGTGCTGGCGGCGGGGCGACAACTGGGAATCCTTGCCCTACTGTTCAGGAAGACCTGCGCTCACATAACCTCACTCCCCAAAGAGCGCAGGTGGGCATGAGCCACTATGCGATGTCCAAACCCGGTTGGAGGGGAGCCCACTTAAGGTTATGATTGGGAGCGGGCCCTACCGAGCTCTGTGCCAGGTATTACTCTAGGAGTAAGGGAAAGCCATCACAGGCGGCGGAACTGGCAAGGGCTTTGGAAGAAACAGGCCTGGCGGGGGGCCAGGTGGCCGGCAGGTAACTTTGGCTGTGTTGGCAGGGAGGCGCCGCTCGCTTCCAACAGTGTCCTGCCCTGCCTTTCTATCCACAGGTGCCCCGAAGGGCTGGAGACGCATAGGACGGGAGGAGCTTTGCACTCTCTCCCTCCTCTGCCACCTGCTCAGGGGTCTCCTGCCCAGGCCAGGAGAAGGCGCCAGATGCCAGTCCGTTTATAAACTAGCCTGAATGCAAAGAACTCCCAGTGGCTCCCTAGTGGCAGCTGAAGAAGGAATGCTGAGTCTTTGCCTGTGGAAAGCCCAGTAGCTGGGAAACCCTGCACAGAACACCGCCTGCGGCCCAGCTTTTGGATTATCTGACCTTTGAGATCATGGAGTACGTGGGTATATAGGGAGGAGGTTAGGAGCTGACTGAGCTGGGCTTCCAGGGAGCCTCAGGCCTGGCTCCGGCAGGGAGAAGGAAGAGAAGTATCTTAGTCAGGGATGAGAAAATACCCTTCCTGAGAAGGTCAAGCCCTACTGAGCATTCAGACCTGGCATCTCAGAGGAAGGAGGGAGACTTCAGATTTCCAGGGTTTTGTCTCTTTCTGATGGCCATAGGAAGATCCCCTGGAGGAGGGCATGGCCACCCACTCCAGTATTCTTGCCTGGAGAATCCCCATGGACAGAGGAATCTGACTGGCCACAGTCCATGGGGTCGCATAGAGACTGAAGCGACTTAGCACGCACAGTATGATGACCATGGTGAGCGGCCCTGCCTCGAGAAGTTAACCACTAGCAGTACACCTAGTGATGCCTCCTGAGTGCCCTTGCCCTGACCTTGCACCTGTTAACCAGGCTGCCTCTAGAAGCCCTGACTTCCCTGTGACCTCTGCGATGCCCATGCTCATCATCAGAATTTGTCTGGGGAGGAGGCATTCACATACACACAGAGTCAACCTCCAGGCAAATTAAACCTCCAGGCTCTGAACTCCACTTTCTGGAGGCTTCCTTACCAGCTCAGAGCCCCAGATATGGGATGCCAGTGCCTCCAACGCTCACTCCACACACCCCTGATGCTGAGCTGTATTTAAAACTCATTTCAGAATCCCTTGCCCCACTTTAAAAATATTTGCTTCTGAACCGAAGGAGCCTTCTCAGACCTAAACCCCTATTTTCCTTCCCTTAAGATAAGATCTTAAGGGTTCAATTTGCCAGAAACCTCAGAGGGGAGAAAATGAATGTAGAGATTCCAAATCGTTCTACGGGAATATTCCACCCAAGCAACCAAAGAGGCCACTCTCCCCTTCCAGTCTTATTTTGCTGCTGCCCACAGTTTCATAAGCTCTCCCCGGGAGCTCAGAATTTCGACCTGGGCCTGGAGGACTGAAATGTGTGGCTGGGGGAGTTGGGAGACTTAGTGTGGGGGAAGGAAAAGCCCCGTCCTTTGTCCGGTCGCTTCCCGAGGGTCTGAAAGGAGCCGGAGACATCTGGGAGGTGGGTCAATTTGGTGGTCAGTTATCCAGAACACACTGCAAATTCTCCTACTTTTTTTGTCTAGCCACTTTAGCCTTTCGGGGACTGACAGTGAGCCAGGGGTACTCATTCCCAAGGAAAATGTCCTGAGGCAGGCCAGGCAAGTGGACTTACAAAAGCTGGAGGCAGCCCCAGTCTGTCAGGGCAGAAAGTCTAATGGGTCCCAGTCAATTCTGGGGTTACAGGGAAGGAAATAGGCCCAGAGAGGGTCAGAGACTTGTCCAAGGTCACACAGGAGTCAGAAGCAATCTCCTGGCCAAATCTTGGACCTGGTCTTGGTCTCCCAGAAGCCAAGTGTGGTTCCGAGGGCCCATCGGGTCTCCCCAGGAGGGAGTCCTTTGCTGCTGGGAGCCCGGAGCGCCCTCGGGCCCTATGCCTGCCTCCTCTGCCCGCCCCGGGCTCACCTCCCCTCCTCAGGCTGCTGCCAGCTCACAGGCCTTACCTGAGATGCCAGCATGTGCTGGGAGAGGTGGAATGGGAAGGGCCCGGCGGTGCTGGCCGCACTGCCCGCGGGACCCAGCCCGCCCGCGTCCAGCCCGGTGGCGGTCCCCGGCCCGCCGCCTCCGCCACCGCTGCCGCTGCCGGCCACCGAGGCTAGTAGGTGGCCCATGCCCATGGCAGAGAAGGCTCCGGGCCCCATGGCGAACTGTCCCGGGTGCAGGAAGAGCGGCTGGCCGGCCCCCAGCGGCCCGAAGAACTGCTGCCCGTGCAGGTGGCCGGAGAAGGCCAGGCCGGGCAGGTGTCCGGCGCCCAGCGGGGACGCGCTGTCCGTCTGCACCACCAGCGGCGCCAGGCCGGGCTCCTTGCCCTCGCCCGCCTCCTTGCGCCCCTCGTCCTTCCTCCGGGCTTCGGCGCGCTCCTTCTCTAGGCTCCGCAGGCCGAACGGGCCGTCCCCGCCGCTCTCGGCCGGCTCCTTGCCCCTCTCGGGGCTGCGCCGCTCCCTGGCGCGATCGGGTTCGGTCAAGCGAGGGGGGCTGCTGCTGTCCAGGGCGGGGCTGCGGCCTAGCGCCGGGCCCGCGCGCTCCTCGCCCAGCCGCTCGGGCTCCGGGTCACTGTCCGCGGCGCACGACTTCTCCTCGGCTGCGGGGAGAGAGGATGCGCGGCGTTACCGTCCCGGGGACAGACAGGCGCGAAGGCCGAGCCGGAGAGACGTGCGCAAGCCTGCTCTCGGGGAGGCCACGTCGGAGGAACTCCCGGAAGCTCGGGGCAGTAGGGGTCACCCCATCCAAGATCCCTTATTTACAGGGGGAAGAAAGTTAACCTGGCAGAGGAGGCCTTGCTGCCGCAGAGTCACGCAGCGCCAGGGCTCTAGCCCAGAGCCCAGAAGGATCGGCGGGCCACCCGGGACCGCACTCAGGGGAGGCCTGGGGTCGAGGCCCGTCCCAGGCTCTCCCCTGACGCTCCCCCCAGGCCTTCAGTTAGCCAGATGCTGAGCACCGAGCCAGCCCGGCGCCCGGGGGACACCCTCCCCTTCTCCCGGCCCGACACGCACCTCTGGTCCGGTGCAGGCGCAGGGGGCTGGGCGCCGTCCCCGGAGACGGCGGCGGTTCCCGCGCAGGGGGAGGCTCGCAGGACGAGGCGTCCGACTCCGCGCCGTCGCGCTCCGGCTTGCAGTGCTCCTCATACAGGCGCAACGACGGCAGCGTCAGCTGCTTCCTGGGGATGAGCCGACGGAGCGGGTCTGAGCGCAGCGCACCCTCCGGCCTCGTCCTGTTCCCCCCAGGCACCCGCCTCCAGGCCAGCCCGCGCACCCTCACCTTTTCTCCCGCCGGCCGTTCCCGGTGTCCCGGAAGCCTTTGGCAAACGGGTTGTTGTCGATCTTAAGCTGCGTGATCTGCGGGGACCGAGGGGGCGGCGCCAGGTCAAGCTGTGGGCTCTTCTAGCCTGGCCCAGGGCACCTGGAGATCAGGGGCTGCCCGCCCCAGAGGAGAGCCCCGGGGAGGGTACCCTGGGTATCCGCCCACCTGGGCTGGGCTGCTCCAAGCCACAAGGCAAGGTGAGGTCGGCGGGCGGACCTCGACGAAAGCGACCTCCAAAAACTATATTAGAGGTATAATCCCTCGACTTGCACACACAAGCCCAAAGCTGTTCACCCCGAGTGGAAATCTGTCGGAGCGAGCAGGCAGGCCCACCTAGCCATTCGAGTTACGGGAACCCGGCGCCTGAGCAGGAGCACACGGACAGCAGGGCACACCCAGGTCAGCAGACACACATGTAGACAATCACACGCACGGGTCCGCGCACACGCGAGTACACACAGATAGAGCAAGCGCCCAGGGAATCAAACGAATTCACACGCCTCCACACGGATTCAAGGCACTCCAAATGGTGCACGCATATACCAGCCCAGGACAGATCGGTTCACGGTGACAGAAAAAAAGAGGAAAAAAATACGGCCGGCAGGACACTCAGACACTGTCGTTCCTCCCAGAGTGGTGCACGCGGACATGGGTCTTAGCAGGGGGGTTGCCTTGCCTCTCTACAGGGAGGATGTAGAAAGATAGCAACCAGGAAAAGCCCTTTCTCTTGAAGGAAAAGTCTCCAAGCATATCCCAAGGGGTCCCGGGCCTGAACTGACCCAGAGAGGGATGGGGGGCCGGAGTAGCTGACACCTGTCCCCCTCTCTGGCTCCCCCAGGAGAGGGAAAACTAGGCCCTGGGTTCCTAGCAGCCGGAAAGCCTGGGCAGATTGCCTCGGGCGCCCTCTTTTCATTTAAATTCCCATCCCTGAGCCAAGAAATAAACGAATAAAACGTAAAAATGTCAGCGCGGGCCCGGAGTCTCTGCTAATTGCTAAGTAAACATCCCCACCCCAAGGAGCGCCCAGCTGTTCGCGCGCCCCGGGGAGCATGTGCGTACGTGTCGTGGGCCTGCGAGAGAGAGCTGGGGAGTTTCGCTGAGTGCTGCGCGTACAGATGTGAGACTGGGGGCTCGGGAGCGGATCGTGAGGGTGCGGGGTGGAGGGGGGACGTGCAGGGGGCCGCGGGCGTGTGTGAGTGGAGGGTCGGAGGCCGCCGAGTGGGAGGGCATCGGTACCGGGACTGGCCCCACCGCCGGCACGCGCACCTTGTCGTTCTGGTAGGCGGTGACCGCGATGAAGTCGGTCTCGGGGAACACGTAGGTGCGGAACGTGCTGTAGGGCAGCTTCAGGATGTCGTTGGCTCGCACGATGTGGAAGCGCGGTTGGTACTTGTGCATGGAGTTCAGGATGGTCTGCAGGAGGGCGAGGGTCAGCCACCAGCCCCCGGCCTGACAGCCCCCGGCCTGTCTCCCGAGCCTTTCTATTCTCTGGGGACCGGACCTCTTTCCATTTTTCTGTCTCTCTCACCGTTCTGCCTTTCCTACCTCATCCCCAAACCTTCCCCCCTTTTCCTGTCTTCTCTGCTCCTTATCTCCTCATATTAATTTTTCTTTTCCCCCTCTCGATTTTCTTTATCACAGTTTCTCTTTCCAGTTAAAAAAAAAAATACCCCAGCTGAAAACCGAAATAAAATAAAACCCGCTACCATTCCACTCTCAACTTCTCTTCCTGTTCACAGCTAAGCCCCTAGTAAACCCGGGAGAGAAGACTGGAACCTTTGAGGCCTCACCGACCTGCCCTACCTCCGGATGGGGTAGACCCTTTAGCCTCATGAACTACCCCTTCCCATTCACTGGGGCCCTGGCTCAGGCAGAAATGGTGAGAAGCCCAAATTCCCTTCTCCCAGGTCAGGCATCTGCCCGAGGGAAGAGGGAAAGGTATGGAGGGAGTTGTTTGAACTTTAAAATCTCCTCCTTTGGGGATGGGGATGGAACTCGGGTCTTGGGGAAGGGTGAGAACCGAGGTCCTGGGCCAGTCTTTCAAGCTCAGACCCCAATGACCAGCAGCTCCACAACCTGCCCCAGCTGCACCTGCCTCCTGCAGGATTCCAGAAGGGAGTTTGGAAGGCCTGAGATTTTGAGAGTTTGGAAAGGGAGATTGGGGGCAGCCTGGAGCTTAGTGGCCGCAAACCCCAACATTCTCCAGGCTTGCAGAACAGAGCCTCTGTGCCCAGGCCCAGCCGGGAAAGGCCACAGGGCAGTGATCTGGGCAGGGGCACTCTGGGGGTTCTGCGAGCACTCCCCTCTGGGGAACCCTGGGGTCTCCTCCCCCCCCACCCCCCGCAATGCTAGGGGCACAGTCTTCCACTCCCATCAGCTCTTGGCCTGCACTCACGAAGCCGTGTTTGTCCGAGATGTTGTTGGTCAGCTTCAGCTTGTGGAAGGCCACCGGCTTGGCCATCCACTGCTCCCCCGTGGCTGGGCTGTCCGGGTGGATGTACATCCGCTTGGGCATCTCGGGGTCGGCCTTGCCTGCCACCATCCAGCGGGAGTTATGGAATTTATACCGGCAGTCGTCAGCGGCCACAATGTCCATCAGTAGGATGTATTTGGCCTTCTTGTCCAGGCCACTGACTCGCACCTTGAAGGGAGGAAACATCCTTCTGCGGGAAACGGAAAGAGGGAGAGGTCAGGGAACCCGCTGGATCTCGAAGACCCCTCTTCCCTGACGCACGCCGTTGCCTGGAGCTTCGCCACCCATGTTCCCCTGTGGTCCGTGCTCTGCCCTCTTAGGAAGGTCTGGGAGATTCCATTCCACCTATGGTGGTTATTCCTAGGAGATCCCATTTCTGCCTGTCAAGACCCTCTCCTGTTATAAGGCTTGCCCTCAGCCCTATGCTCAGAACTAGTGACCCCTTTTTTCTCCCTCATCTGAGATGAAAGCCGGGCTCCAAGAAAGAGATCCAGGGCCTTTACAAATATACGCGCTTCTCATGGACCTCCCTGAAATTCGTTCGTGGGAGAATATATCCACTTAGGCCCGAAGCTCTCAGAAGTGCATTCGGATGTTTGTTTGGGCAAGGAACTGGGTTACAGCAGCGGAACAAGGACCCTGACCCTGAAGTTCGGGCGAAGAGGGTGAGTGAGCCCGAGGCCTAGATTCTCCGCGTCTGAGCTAGAGGCTTGAGCGGTTGGCGATTGTAGCTTTTCTTCCGGCTTCAGGGCCTAGGGAGCCGTGTGCCTCCGGAGCTCCTGGTTCCTCTGCCCGGACAAGGCTCACAGGCCAGGTCAGGCTGCGGCTGGGCCGGCTCGGGGCTCGCCGCGGAGAACGGCCGCGACCGGCGGGAACCAGAGGGCCGGGCTGGGCCTAGCGGGGGTGAGAGTCTCATTCCGGGCTCCGGGGTCGGAGGAGAGAGCGGGAGACGCCGCATCTTCGCGGAGCACAGAGCCAGACTTGCCTCCGAAGCAGGAGAGAGGGGTCTCGGGGCTGATGAGTTGCGGCCGAGACCGCTGAGACCCTCCAGGGCCGAGCCGCGGGGCCTCCTCGGCTTTGGCACTCTGAGCGCTGGGGGACTATTCTTGCAGGAGCACGTTTTCGTTTTCATTTGGGAGACTTTGATGCTTCGCGTGTTTGTTTTTTTTTTTTTTTTTAATTCGTTCGGTGCCGAATGAGAAAAGTCAACTTGCTGGTCTGTGCGTGGCTCGGGGGCCGGAGCCGGGAGCTGGGAGCCGCGGGCGGCGGGCTCGGCGCTGGTCGGTGCTGTCGGATCCCCCTCCCGCCCACCCGCGCGCCCTCCGGCCAGCCGGCCGCCCTACCTCCCGGACTTGGTGATGACCATCTCGGTGCCCAGCTTGTGGAACTGGTCCCACAGCTCCTTGGCCTCCAGCGTCACCTTGGGGTCGTCCTCCACCTCGTCCTCGGGCTCCAGGCTCTTAAGCGAGCGCAGATGAGCGGCGGGCGGATGCGGGCCGAGTGCCGAGACGTGCAGCCCCGCCTCGGCCGCCGCCGCCGCCGCGGCCGCCGCCGCCGCCGCCCCCGCCAAGCCCGGGTCGGGCAGCGGCTTGGCCAGAGCGCCGGGCGGCAGCGCGAGAGCCGGGAAGAAGGAGGGCTGCGCCGCCGCCAAGAAGGCGGACATGGGGAAGTCGGCCGGCCGTGGCGCGTGGAACGGGTGGTAAGCCATGGCGCTGGCCGCCAGCGCCGGCTCTCTCATCGGGACATCCGGCCCAGGAGCCCGGGGGCCGGGGCCGGGGGCGCGCGGCTCGGACCCCCGGCCCGGGCGGCGGCGCGCACGGAGGAAGGGCGACCCGGGTGGCAAGCGCGGTGGCGGCTCCTCCCGGCTCCCCGTCCGGCGCACGGCGAGGGACGCGGGGCGCTGGGCGCGGGGGCGGCGGGGGCCCTGCGCGGGGCTGGGCTGGGCTGGGCCGCTCCGGCGCCGGGGACCACGCGCGACTGGTTAGATCTTGTCGTGATCTCTGGAAAACTGTGACTATCTCACATGTCCTGCCCTGCTCGGATCCCCTGCGCTAACGAGCCAGGCCCCCCTTGATTGCTGATTTTACGCTTTTTGGACCAATTGTGGGTCTCCGGGGGCGGGGTTTTGACAGCTCAGGCCAAGATCGGAGTGGGAGGGGGGGCCCGGGGAGAAGGTGTCGGAAGCCTCAGCAGTAAGAAAACATGTCAACAGAATAAAATATTAACCAATGACGGGCCAGCGGGCCCCGAGACCCCTCCCCCTGCCCCGGCCCCCACCCCACCGCCCGCGCCCACGGCTGCCTGCGCCCGGACGGGGAAGCGCGGCGGGCCGACCCGACCCGCCGAAAGGGCCTGAGGCGAGGGGCGCCCGGGCGCCAGGGCCCGCGGGGAAGGACCCCCAGCCGCAAGCCGCCCCAAGTGCAAAGCATTGACACGGCCCCGCGAGGAGAGGGGGCGCCCTCCTTCTCCCACGCCCGGCGGCCCGCAGCCCCGGCCCGCGCCCCGGCTTGGCCTCCGACCCCGCTCCTGGCCGCGGCGCCGCCCGGGCCCTTCCACTCCGGAGGGAGGCAGCGGGTGCTGCAGGAGAGGCCGGTGGGCGGGCGAGGCGGGAGGCGCCGGCTGCCGAGGTCCGGGAGCGGAACCCAGGTGGCGGGAGCCGGTGAGTGCGGCGGTCGCAGAGCCCTGGTGGGGCCGGCGGGGGTGGGAGGCGGACGCGGCCTTTCACTTGGAGAACTCGGGGACCCCCCCCAGCCCGTGCCGACCCCCTCACAGGAAGCCTCTGGAGGAACCGGGAGTTCCGGGAAAGCCCTGGACTCAGCCCAGTATCCGTTTGCGTCCCCGAGCTAATCGGAGCTCTCCCAGGAGAGCCCGTCCTCCGGTCTGGGAAGGTGTGAGCGCACCTTCCGCCGGGCATCGGGCGGCAAGACGCGGGCGGATCCCGCCCCCACGTTCTTGACCCAACGAATTTTCGTCGCATCCGGTACCAGAGACACAAGCATTCCCCATCCTCAACACCGGCATCCTCTCTACGCCACTTTCCTGGAATTGGTTCCCACCTCTCGAAAGCTCACGTCTCCCAGGTTCCGTGGTGCCGAGTAGCGAGTGTGGGGGTCTGAGTGTCTGTGCGCACCTGCGGTTGAACCTCCCTCCCCCCGCCCCGCAGCCAGACTTCGTTCTCCCGCAGGACCAGGATTTTCTCCCGCCCTCGGAGTGTGTGTGTGTGTGCGCGCGCGTGTGTATGTGTGTGCGTTTCGCGCCCACGGTGGTAGTTCCCTCTATGCTCAGCGGGAGTCGAACTTAAGGCGGGCGGTCACACACCTGCCTCGGATCAGTCTGGAGCCCTGACGCTGCCTGACTCCTGGCGGTCGGAGGGCAAGACGGACCAGGCGGTGGACACGGGTGACACGCCTGCCCGCACAACCGATTCAAATGCGGGTTAGTTCGGCCAGCACGGACTCTGCCCCGGCGTTGTGGGCGCGTACAGCCCACACCCACAGTGTCCATGGGCTGCGCACACCAGTCGCAGGGGATCTTTCTGCTGCACACGCAGACCTGGCGTGTAATGTCTGATCACCCCGGGCAGTGCAGTTTGGGGACCGGCCGGAGTGGTTTGGCCTCCTCGACCTTTTTTCTACTTTCCTGAGCCGACCCCAGAGATCTCGCTGCATCCCTTTACCGCGCGCCACAGGGCGCCTCCCCCAGAGGGTTTTCCTTCCCGACCTCGCTCTCCACTGGGTCGCCCCTCTCTTAGTGCCTCCTCTCGGTCCAGAACGAATCTTTGACCACGCGCCGCGCAGTCTTTGCAGCCGGGGCCAGATCCGTTGCCGCTTTGCCCCGGCAAAGTCCTGCCGGCTCCATCTTAGGCGAGATGATGCCCCTGGGGAGGGATGTGTGTGGACAGGATTGCGCAGCTGGTGGGGTGACCAGATAACAGCCAGCGTTCCGTAGCCAGGAATCCGGGCACTGGCCTGGGAATCCGCGCATGCATTTGCAAAGTCGTGTGTGTACGCGTACTTTCAAACTTAAGAATGGTGTGGAGAACACCTAAGTGTGTGCAATCTGAACATTTTCCTGGGGAAGGTCTGTACCTGGTAAAGGGGTCCAAGGCCCAGACAATTTGAAACACGCTGGCCCAGGTTGTTTGCCCAAGAAACCGCGCGGCTACGGTGCAGCGGCTGCCTTTGGGAGACCACGATCCCACCTGGCCACAGCCACTGGGCCACGGACTTGCCCTCTGGCGGCCGCGGGCTCTTTTTCGGCCCGGACTCCATCAGCCGCCCTGCCCCGCCATCCCGCCACCAACCCGAGGTCCCGCTACAGCCGTTCTTAATAGTCTGAACTTCCATCCCCATTCCCCCCACCGCGCCCAACACCTCCCGCCAAACTCTTCAGCGAGGAATATCCTTGGCTCAACGAAAACCCGCGAAGGGGAGGCCCAGGCAGCCCCGGAGCTGCGCCGTGCGGCGCTCAGCGCTCGGCCCCTCCCCCGCTGGGTCTCCCCTCCCCTTCCCCTTCCCGGGAACTGGCGCCTCCGGGGGGTCCCCAGGGCTGAGAGTGCGTGTCTCTTTAAGAGGCCCCGGGGGGCGCCTCGCGAGCCGCCCGGGGCTGGAGGGGGAGGGCGCGGGCGGGAGCGGCTGGCGCCAGGCGGCCGAGGCTCCACAACAAAGCTCCGGCCCCTGTCACTTCGCATCGGTCGAGCCCCGCAGACGGGCGGGGGACGCGCGCTCAGCCGCCCCCCCCCACCCCCCCGGCCGTCCAGGGCCCGGGCGTCGGGCGGGCGCGGGCCTCTGGCCTCCGGCCTCCGGCCTCCGGCGCGATGCACGCGCTCCGGAGGCTCTGAGCCTCCCGCAACCCGGAAACCGGGCGGGGGCGGCCTGGGCCGGGTGTGGCCGCGGCCCTGAGCCTGGGCGGGCTGCCGTCGGTCCCTGGCCCCTAACCTTCCGCAGGGTCAGGGGCCACGCGGGGGTCTTCCCTGGGTTGGTCCCGCCGGTGTCTCAGGCTGTGTCCCTGGGCGGGGATCCGCCTGGAGTGATGGCCTGAGGGGCACGGGCCTGTGGCAGAGGGGACACGCGTCCCCCCGGGGTAGCGGGGCGCTGGCCTGAGGCGGGTACTAAGTGCGCGGTGGTTTAGGAGTGTGCCCGGGCTGAGTGCGGGTGACGCGCGGGGCCCTGCGCCTGTGACCCGCAATGGAGGTGCCAGGGGGCGCGTGCATCCTCGCCTTGGCTTGTGTGCGCAGGAAAGAGGGAAGAGGACAGCGTGGCCTCCCATCCCCGTCTCCCCGACCGGACCCGCGCCTTCCGGAGCCTTGGCGCCAGCCAGCCCCATTCAGTGGCCGGGCCCGGCTCCCCCGCAGTCCCGGGTCTGCCCGGGGTGGGGGCCGCGGCCTCGATGACCCCGGCCCGCAGCGGCCCGGCCTGTCCCGTCCACTTAGACAAATTGCGGCTGACAGGCGCGCAGTCTCTCTGGAGTCGCCGCCCGCCCGTCGCCTCCCTCCCGACCCAATTACCCCGCGCAGGGTCGGGCCAAGTGGCTGGGACGGGGCGGGGGGCGCGGGAGGCGCGACCTCTTCGCCGCCGGTCTTGAGCGAGGCCTGGCGGCGGGGCCCCTTCTTCCGGTCAGGTTCTGGGGGGTACCCGGGAACAGCACGGCCCCTGGGGTCCTGTCCCCAGGCTTCCAGGCTGGCGGGAGTCCCGGGCTGGCAGCTCTGGCCTGGGACTACCCGTCCCTCGAGGGTGGTCGCTCTGCACTTTCGAGGGCAAGCAAGGTCGCAGGGCCTCAAGACCCAGTGCGTGTCCCTGCCGGACTTTGGGTGACTTCCCCAGAGTTTGGGGGGACTCCATCATCCCGGGAGCTCCCGGGACTATTCTATGCGCTGGGGTCGAGGTCCTGGGGTCGCAGCGGTCCGCTTGGGACGCAGGGGTCGGTAAAAAACCGAGGTGCTCCTCTGTGGACCCGCACAGGTGTGAGTTCTCAGGTGTGGCTACCCGGGGTCGTGGCAGAGTGGACAGGCCACGCTGCTCTGTGGCTTGAGTGAGGGGGCAAAGCACATGAAGGACCCCCTCCCCCTCCCGCTCCCCAGGACCAGCCCACCTGCGAGAGACGGGCGGGGCTGGCCTGCGCGGGCTTACCAGGTTTTTCGTTTGCTTTCTGCAGAGACGCGCTTTGCCGGATTCCCTGGAGCAGCCTCGAGGTGTGTTCGTGACAGTCGGGTCCAGCGTGGCCTCACCCGCCCTTCCCTCTCCCTTCCAAAGAGACACCTGGCCTGTCCCATAAACCTCTAGGCCTCCAACCAACCTTTTGCTTTTTTGACCTGCAGCTTCCTCTTGGATCTTGGATTTTGTTGCTTGTCTCTGCTGGGTAGGCTCCTGTCGCCCCATTTTACAGATGAGCCCAGAGGGCAGTCATTTACCCGGGGCCACACAGCTACCGGTGGCAGAGCTGAGACGGGGCCCATGGACCTTAAAAGAGAGCAAGGCCACTCCTTAGCAAGTTAGTGATGTCGTTGCTGGCCCACTAGCTACACCTGCTCAGGGAACCAGGCAATAGAGACTCCTGGGCCCCAACCCTCAGGCTGGGCTCTGGTTTCTCTGAATCCAAGACAGTCCAAGATGCTCTTCCCTTTTGCCCCTAGAGTTTCCAGCTCTAGGTCTGCAGGAGGGGGCTGCCTTCTCAGTGACCCAGGGACACAGGAGCAGCTTCAAAGCCAGCCAGGGGCCAGGGCTGGACGCTCTTAGGGGTAGGGCATGGGGGAGACGGGACCAGTCTTGGATCGTGTGGGGGCCCAGGACAGGGAGGTCGATGCAGAACAGAGCCCCCTAAGGGAACCGGCCAGGGCATGTGAGGCAGCAGGGAGCAGACAGGGGTCAGCAGATTAGCTGTGTGACTTCTTAACCTGGGACAAGGGCTCAGGCTTCTCATCTGCCAAAATGAGGACCGAACAGTGCTCTGTGTGGCACCTTCCAGTTTAGCGATTCTCTGATCTGTGAAAACCAGAAAAATCAGCAGCGAGCAACCATTTCCAGTCTCGGGCTGGCAGCTGCCTGCTCTGGCCGCGGCTTTGAGCTGACATTAGTGTTGGGCACAGGTTGGTGCCCCTGAATTTGCCATGGGGCCACCGGGTCATGGCTCTAGTCAATCCAGGGCCCTGCCTCCTTCAGCTGTCACCCCAGTTCCCATCAGCCTCCGCGCAAATCATGAAGGTATTTTTTCCCTCCATCAAATTGGGAGAAAGTCCATAGTAATTTGCCTGTCGAGTGGGTAGCACTGTAAGAATCAGGGAGGTCACATGGCTTCCTCAAGGTCACCTGGTCAGGCCATAATTAGATGCATGTTCTCCTAGGTGATGCCATCCTGGGGAGGGAGGGGTGCGGGGGAGGGGAGCTGTTGGAGGTGAGGCAGAGATTGCCCTGGGAGTTATCTCTAGAGGATGGGAGGCTGGCTGCTCCGGGGCCAGTGGGCAGTAAGGTCCCCCACCCAGGGGCCCAGTCTCACTTCCAGCTGATTACAGGCTGTGGCAGGGTCTATAACCTCTCCAATTAGCCGGAGGCCAGACCCAAGGCCTCTCTGATAACCCCAGCTCCAGTGGCAGCCGCCATGGGGCCAGCTTATCTGGCCTCTCTTATCCTCCCCCCTTCCCCCACATACTCCAAGAGTTGCCCTGGCTGCGAGCAGATGAATAACCAGATTGTCCTGCAAGCTCAGCCGGCAAGTCCAGCCCTACACCCACCACTTTCCCTGACCGAGGGAGGCCACAGCTGTTTTTTGCACCCCCTGGAGGGAACAGGCTGAGCCAGGAAGGACTCCTGACTCTAAGCTGCCAGTCAGTCCCGAGTGGTTGGGGAGCACTCCTGGCTTTCCATCTTTGCCCTGTTGTCTGTGTTCCTGAGGGTGGGTGCAGAGAGCTGGACCCTGCCTGGAGCTCTGGATGCATCCCCAAGGAGCCAGCCAGTAGGCACAGGCACTCTGGGGGCACCCCTCTCCCTCCCGGCCCCCTTTTGACTGAAACACGGCTCTGGAGGGGTGGGGCTGTGCTCAGCAGTGTGTGTGTGTGTGTGTGTGTGTGTGTGTGTGTGTGTGTGTGTGTGTGTGTGTGTGTGTGTGTGTGTGTGTGTGTGTGTGTGTGTGTGTGTGTGTGTGTGTGTGTGTGTGTGTGTGTGTGTGTGTGTCCAACTGGGCCAGAAAGGGGAAAGCTGCTGGTCGGTGTCAGCCCCCGCCGGCCCGGCCGGGCCTCCTTCCGTTCCGGACATGTGATCCTCGCCCCGCAGGTTCCTGGGCAGGAGGGACTGGCTTTAGCCACCCTCTGCAGGGCTGGCCACTCAGCCTTCGGAGCAGAGTGTGGTTCGGGTCCTCTCTTCCCCCAGCACGCCCAGCTGCCTGGGCACTGAAGATTAAATCTGTCCTCGGGCGCCAGGGCTGGATGGGGTGCGTGTGAGCAGGGCCGGGCCCTGGGGCTGCCCTGCTCTGGCTGGACGGCAAGGCCTGCCTGTTTGTGAACTGACCTCTTCTGTGGCTGTTGCATTAAACTTCACCCCAAAGCACGCCTGGCTCAGTGGTTTCCTTCAGTCCCCCCCTCCCAGGCCTCTCCAGGGTCTCCGTGGAGGCAGGATGGGGACTTGCATCCATCCCCTTCCAGCTCAGCACCCCCTCTTTGCTCCCCCCCAACCCCGCTCCTGTCTCCTTCCTGCCCTTCACCTTAGGTCCAGGACTGGGAGCGGGGAGGGGACCACATCTAGAACTTGTCATCTAAGGTTCCGACCATCCTTCACCTTCTGAGTTTGCAAAAAGAGGTACAGGACTTCCCTGATGGTCCAGAAGACTCCCAGTTTCCAATGCCAGGGCTGTGGGTTTGATCCCTGGTTGGTTTACTAAGATCCCACATGCCTCAGGGCGCAGTCAAAGAAAAATTTAAAAATTAAGAAAAAGATTCTTGAAAGAGGTAATGACAGGGAGCCTGTCCCAAAGAGAAGGCCAGAGTCTTCATCAGGCTCTCCTTCCCACAGCAACCCAGCAGCACGTTCCAGGGACCTGACCGCCACAGCCAGGGAGGCCCGGGGTGCCCTCCAAAACCCAATGGCTCTGGTGACAGGCAGGGAGGGCAGAGGATGGGTCTGTCAGACGCCACCCAAACTCCAGAGTAAACATCCTCCTCCTCCTTCCTCCCGGCTCCCTGACTCCCTCACACCTGCACTTGTCCAGGTGGGGGTGCTGGGAGCAAGGCCGCGCAGTTGGGCTCCCAGGACTCTGCTCCGGGCTGGGAGAGGACCCTGACCCCAGCCACTTAGGGATGGACACCAGTTGCAGCGTGATTTATTGAACAAGACGTGCACTTTTTGACAGGGCCTCAGAAACCACGGTTTCCTTCACTGAACAGTACAGGATCAGGGTACAAGGGCTTACAGACAAGAAAGACAAATCCTTTCCATGAGCCGAAGGGGAGAGAAAAGAGGAAGGGGGGCTTCTCTTTCCTTCCTCCTCCCCTAATACTCCGGGACTCAGTTCAGCGCCAGCGGGAGGCTGGGCAGTGTGTGCCGAAGCTGGGGCTAGATCAGGGCTGGCCACTTGCGGCCAAGATGCCCGCCGAGCCATCTATCCTCCCCACCCTGGCCCCCACCCCCCAAGGGCTGGGTTAGAAAATACAAAAGCAGGTCCGACGCGGGACATCGTGTGCAAACAGAGGCGGGGACGGAGCTTCTGCAGAGTCTCGGCCACGGCCGGCCCCAGGACGGGGGCAGAGGTCAGCGCGCGCCGAGGTGCTTTGGAGAAGGGTCTCTTCTCGATCCAGGGAGGCTGGGCGGCTGTCGTCACGAAGCTCGGGGAAGGCGGTGGGTTCAAAGAGGAGCGGAGTCTGAAGGGTAGGAGCAGACGGGGGGCGTCTCCCCCTCCCTCCGGCAGGAGAGTGGGCAGGCCAGCCTGAAGGCTGCTGGGACCTACGGGAAGCTGGTGGGGAAGAGGCTGAGGGGCTGGCTCTCGTTGGTGGGCAGCGGAGACCGGTAGCCGTCGAAGTTCCTCGGGATGCTGCCGCTGGTGGAGCCCGAGCTGTTACTCAGGGTCTCGATGCTTCCCTCTCGCTGGAGTTCTGCAAGACAGGAGGGAGGGCCCGGCCCGGTCAGGGGGCGTTCTCGGGGGCAGGCGGGGGGGGGGGGGGCATGCACTCTGGGCCGGCTGCCTGCCGTGAGGCACCACACTGGGTCCACTGACATCCTTCTGTGGTGGGAAAACGGGGTGGCAGCCTGGGTCCCAGGGGAAAGCCCCTGGGCTGGCAGGCTCCCATTGCTTCCTCACTGTGTGAACCCCTTTAGCCAGGAGCATGGCTGCCCTGATGATGCATCTGGACCACACTGCCATTCGCGGGGCGTGTGCCCAGGCCTGACGTGGGCTCGTGCTCAGCCAGCTTGCTTCCCAACTCCGTGAGAGGCTCCTGTCCTGGAGCTCCTGGTCTGGGAGGAGGGGAGACGCCGGGAGGCAGGAAGGACCGAGGCGTCCCTGTCTGGTCTGTCTGCCCCTCGCCTCCCCAACCAGGGACCCAGGCTCAGCCTCACTTGCTCACACATCCTCACCCACACTATCTGCCTGCCCGCCAGGCCCCTCCTGTGCCACCCCCCTGCAGGGGTGAGTGCCTGCTTTGAGAGGGGCCTATTTCCCCTTCCTCTGGGCTCCCAAGTGTCCTGGAGACACCCTCCCGGAAGGGACGTGCTCAGGGTCCACCCGGGAGTCAGGTCAGGAGGCTCCCAGCCCTTCCCCTGGCATCTTGGAGATGGCACCTGGCTCCATTTCATTCCACTACAGGAGCCTTCCTCAACTGCCCTGCCATCTCTTGACCCAAGACAGGTACTGGGGTGGGTGGGCTGGCAACAGACCTCCTGGCATGCCGAGTGCAAGGCAGAAAGAATTACTTCTTGGCTTTCTGAGAGTGGTCAGTTCCTATCCCCTCTCCTACAGTGGGCTCTGAGATGTGGGCACACATATCCCTTGGCAAACTCTGGGTTCAAGCCAAGATGAGGAACCTGCAGTTTCTCCTTCCCCAAGGTAAACTGCCTGGGATGGAGTGGGAGGGGGGGTCTCGCTTGTCCACCCCGGGAGCCCAGGCTCTCAAAGGGGTCATTTGAGAGAGCAGGGTGTGCTTAAATGCGACACGGGTCTGGTCTCCTGTACCTGCAGCCTGCGCCCGTGCCCGGGGCCCCTGCCACCCTCCGCCTGCAGCACAGCTGGCTTTGGTTAGGGGATGGGTCGCAGCCTTCACTCCTGGGCTGGCCATCACTGGCCAGACAGGAAGTGACCACTGACCCCCACTCCCGTGGGTGACCCCGAAGCACGCTGGTGGCCCAGCAGCAGCAGCAGCCACAGAATGGGTCGGGGGCATCTGTGCTGGCCTCCTTCAGAGACGCCTCCTGGTTCCACGTGTGAGGTGTGAGGCACCAGCCGTGTCCGGGGCCCAGGCTGGAAGGGTGTGCCGGCAAACCAGAGCCTCTCAGCAGGTGGGGGGGCTGTGGGCGCGGGCTGCAGGCCTGGCGCCGGGCCCTGCCTGCCAAGAGGCACTGGCTGCCCTGTGGGGCCCGACCCTGAGATTAAGTTGGGAGTCATCTAGATGCGGATGGAAAACCCAGGCCCCCGCGTGGGCTCCCTCCTTCCCCACTCAGCCTCTAGCCTCCTCCTTATTTGGGGGCCGTTGTGCCAAGAGGGACAGGACAGGAAAGCAGGGAGCAGATCCCCAGGTTTTGACACGGAAGCTTCGCACTCCAGAAAAGCTCTCCCGTCCCCCTGGTTTCCCCTGAGCGCAGCCGAGAGGCCCTGGCCCCGGTGGGGCCGTCCCGGCGCTAGGGGGCGCCGACAGCAGAGCCGGGAGGAAGAGAGGCGGCGAGGCCCCAGCAGGGCGGCAGGGGCTGCCGGGCCTCCGGACTCCAGGCCCCGAAGAGAGCCCCGGACGAAGAAGCAGGAGAGGCAGCAGCCGGGGGCAGGCCCAGCGTTCCTGACGCAAAGTGCGTGCACGTTCACACCGCCCCGGAAGCCGAGACGCGGGGAGCCTGGGACCAAGCGGGGGGACCCCCACTTCCTGCAGCCACCCCCCAGCAGCGCAGGGACCGCGCGAGTCCACACGGCCGCCCCGCACCCCATCCTGTGAGAGTGCGGGGACAGGTACCACAGGGATTTCAAGATGACTGGGTCTCCCGGGGCAATGGAGAGCCTGCGCTGTCTTGCTTGTGTTTTCTCCTCACCAGTGAGGCTGCGGGTGAGATGGAGATGGCCCCTGCCTCCCGGGTGACCAGGCTCCACTGGACTCATGTCCCGGGTGCTCCCCCGGACTCGTCCCTCCTCTCATTGCCCGTGGCTGCTGCCCACCCGGATAACTCCCACAGGTCCCTACTGGTCTCCAGACCCTCAGAGCCCCCCTCTCCAAGCCACCGCATCCCAAAGCCAGAGCGTCTGCCTGCAGCACAAACCACATCTTGCTTTTCCCCTGCTTAGAAGCTTCACCGTCTCCTAAGGGTCCTGAGGGCAAGGGCTCTCAACTCCTCACCTCTATCAAACTGCCTTCCGTGACCTCTCTTCCGTGCTCCTCTCCAAGACCCCACCTCACTAAAGTGGATTTGAGGAATCCAGATAATGAGCTTGGGCAGTCTGGGGGCCTCGCAAGGCTGCTCCAGGCCTCTGGGTGTGTGCTCATCCGGGGAAAAGCCCTTCGCAGGTTTGGCCCCCAGGACACCTACTTATCTTCGAACCTCAGCACGCGCGCAAGCCTGTGCTGTCGTCATGGTAGAATGGCCAGGCCCCACCGCGCTCTGTACTGACTCCTGCCCGGGACCCCGGCACCGTCTGCTCACACGTGTCCCCGTCCATGTGGGTGGGGTCCCTTGGAGGTCGGTTCTGTGTTTTATTCCCTAGTGCCAACCACAGGGCCTACAGAATAGTTGGGTGTTCAAAAAGCAGTTCTTGAATGGATGTATGAATGAATGAGTGCGGAGGGAAGCGGATGGGTCACTGCTATCTGCAGCTCGGCTACCAGTGTAAGAACCCAGGGCCCGGTTGCTCTTGGGCCGTGGCCTACATGCCCCCGTCAAACCCTGTGCTCTTCTGCTCCCCGAGACAGGACCGTGTGAGTGTGCGGAAGCAGACGTGGCCGTGGCGGAGGGGTGCACACATGGCCCCCCCGCAGGTCACCCAGCCGCCCAGCCCTTCGGAGCAAGCGGCAAACCGAAGTGTGTGGCCTTACCTTCCTCCATCCCGAACACACGCTTTGTTACTGTTGGGTTGTTCACGGGCGCTGGGCGGTTGGCATTGTTTTTTTTTTCCTTTTTTTTTCCCTTTTGAAAAGAAAAGCATTGAGGAACCTTTTGGGAAAAGATCCGGACAATGATGGAGAACACTGATGTCGGCAAGCAGGAGGCGAGGGCACCAGGAGGTGTGGGCGCTCACGCCGGGAGGAGTAAGCTGGGAGCAGAGTTCTGCAGTGACATGCACGTGTGGGGGGCTGGGGACCAGTCTTGGGGGCCCCGGAGATGGAACTGTGGCAGAGCCGAGACCCCCTTCGTTAAGGGGAGGAGGAGAGGGTCCATCCCCGGAGCAGGAGGAGCAGCTGTGGGGAGGGGAGAGGCGGGCCGCTGGCCCATGCAGTGCCCGTGCAGGTGGGACCCAGGAGAGGACGAGACAGAGAAAGCCTGTGGTTTCCAGGGATGCCTCCGCGTGTTCGGACTCAGTGGTCCAGCTCGGGCTGCTGACCTCCTCCCCCAATTCCAAGACCCCCGGGTCTGAATGGCAGTCCTGCAGCTGCAGTGGACTTGCAAGGAAAGCCCATCAGAAACCTGCAAGGGAGAGTGAGCTGGGGGCTCTTTATGTGGGGGCCTGGCAGCCTCCCCACTCAACACAAGTATGTGGATTCTGGCTGGTGGGAAAGAGCCCGCTCTTACGGAGGCTGCTCTCCAGGCCTCTAAGATAACGGACTGCACTCAGATGGAAAATCTTACTGTGACCTCACGTTCCCCAGCGCCTCTGTGTGCCTGGGAGGTGGGTGCTGGTCCCCCCATTTTGTAGGCAGCTAAACCAAAGAAGAGCAGGAAGCCGCTGGCTCTGGGTAGAGAACCCCTCGAGAAAGAACTGGGCTGATGGACACGTGACAACTCCAGGCATCAGTCTCACTGGTCCCAATGCCCTCCACTGGCTGTTTCCACCCGTTTGCTGCTGGCTCTTTTTGGAAAATGGGGCCTGCCACCCAAGCTGCCCCTCGAGGTCAGGGGCCGGGGCGGGGTAAGCCACAGGGCGTAAGGGGTGATGGACTGAGCAGCAACTCCAAAGGAGGAGCCTTAGCTCTCATGAAATAATCAAAGGACCGAGAAAGTTCAGCTCTCAGGCCACCCTCACTCTATACGGAGCCTGGCAAATCTCAAAGGTCTTGGGAGGGCCAAAGAGGTGGCTGGCCTTGTCAGGGAGAAGCAACCCTGGTTCCCTGGGTGCGTATGCCAAGGGAGACCCAGGGGGAATAGAAGGAGGCGGGAGCCTGGCTGCCTGCAAACGCTGCCCCCGTCTTGGTGTGGGCCGTGCAGATGAGGGAGACCGTCTGCCCTGGCCCCTTGACTCTCAGCAGGAGACTGCGACCCCCTCGGCAAAGGCAGGGGCAGCAGAGACCGGCTCCTGGGAGCTCTGGGTGGGTGCTGACGGCCAGGGCCGGCTCCACTGGGGAGAGGCAGAGGATGAGCCAGGAAGGGGACACACAGCCCCGGAGACGGCACGGGGGGCGGGGCATGAGGAAGCCCCTCCCTCTGGAGTGCTGGTCCCTGAAGCTGCTTCACCCTGGAGGGCCTTCTCCCCGGGGCCTGTCCTCTCCCTGGGGGGGCAGACCCTTCCCTCCCTCGAGGCCACTCTACGCCTGGCAAGGCAGGAACTTTGGGGGACACCCTGGATGCAGGTCTCTCAAAAGCAACGGTCACTTTCCTAAGTGCTGTGGTCTCGGCTCCCCCATCCCCGGGGAGGTGGTAGAATACTGAAGACGCAGGGCCTCTGTGGGTTTCAGGGAGAGCTGGGGCACCCAGGAGGGCAGGGGACCCCAGGGCGGGTCAGGAGAGAAGCACTACCTTGGGCTTGGCC